TGGCTGCTACGGCTGGTGTACTGCACCGATCTGAAACCAGGAACCAGGCGCTTCCTCTTGGTCTCCCATGTGGGTGCAGGGCCCAAACACTTGGGCCATCCTCCACTGCCTTCCCAGGCCACAGCAGAGAGCTGAACTGGAAGAGGAGCAACCGGGACAGAATCCGGCACCCCAACCGGGACTAGAACCCAGGGTACCAGCGCCGCAGGCGGAGGATTAGCCTAGTGAGCCACAGCGCCGGCCAAGAAGTGGCTGATTCTATCTAGAGCTGCAGTGGGGTGAGGAAGGCTGAACAGAGGTTTCACAAAGAATATGTGTGACCTGGGTTTTGAAGGACACAGAGGAGTTTGCTAGGCAGACTCAGGGAGGAGAATGTGAGGTGGAGGGAACAGCATGCGTACAGTCTCAGAACTCTGAAATACCTTATAGTCGGCTGATCGAAGGAAGGGCGAGCAGTGAACCCGGAGGGCCCTGTGGGGTGGAGCCTTAGAGGACTTGGTATTTTAGGAGTGGAATTGATCCTGGGGACGTGACAAGGGGGAGCGCCTGGGACTTACATTTTAGAAAGATCTCTCTGGTGACGGTGGGGAATGGATTGGCGGGAACAAACCCAGAGCAAGAGAAACCAGCAAGGAGATTCATGGGGTTGTTCCTCCAGGTAGACGTTTTGTTCACAGGCATCACATGGGAGCTCCAGACACCAAAGTCTGTGTCCCACCTCAGAGTCCCACTTCACTGGTGTGGGGTAGGGCCTTAGCGCTCCTTCAACTTTTAAATCCGCCCAGGTGATATCCTGTGCAGCCCTAAAGAGATTTTAAGCAAATGGTGACCCACACCCTGGCACATAGCTGTTATTCAATTTGTTTTTTCCAAACTTAGTATAAAAACATACCGAGTGCCCTGCCTTTGGTTCCACAGCACTTTGAGGGGATGCAGTTGATGAGCAGTGGGTTGACCTTTGTCATAGAGGGTTTCAGTAGAACAACTCCCCCCAAAATTCAGCTTGAACCTCAGAAAGTGCAGGGCTAACACAGACCAGCAAGCTCCTCCATGCCACACACAGAATGATCTGGAAGGTGAACCTGTGTGGGCTGGAGTTGTCTGACGAGAGTGCAAGACTGTGGCCGGGGCTGGGAGCCTTGTGCAGAAGGCAATGAGCATTTGCAGCCCAGCTCAGGCCTGAGCTGGTGGAGAGATGCATGGAGGGTGGCGGTCTTTTAAAAAGGAACAGGAAAGCCAGTGCCGCGGCTCACTAGGCTAATCCTCCGCCTAGCGGCGCCGGCACACCGGGTTCTAGTCCCGGTTGGGGCGCCGGATTCTGTCCTGGTTGCCTCTCTTCCAGGCCAGCCCTCTGCTGTGGCCAGGGAGTGCAGTGGAGGATGGCCCAGGTGCTTGGGCCCTGCACCCCATGGGAGACCAGGAAAAGCACCTGGCTCCTGGCTCCTGCCATCGGATCAGCGCGGTGTGCCGGCCGCAGCGCGCTGGCCGCGGCGGCCATTGGAGGGTGAACCAACGGCAAGGGAAGACCTTTCTCTCTCTCTCTCTCACTGTCCACTCTGCCTGTCAAAAAATAAAAATAAAAATAAAAAAAAAAAAGAACAGGAAGGGGAGGAAGAGGAGAAATGTGCACTAAGCTCCACATTTGTAAGTGAGCATATTCCTGCCTTCATAGTCCTTGTCACACCCAGATTGAAGGCAGAAATTAGTGGCAGTTCAATTCCTGGTTTACCTGCTCTTCGAGATGCCCATCTAAAGATGCACACAAAGAAAAAAAATCCTGGTCCATTCATAGAGGGAAGGCACCTTATTATTCCCATCTGAAACCTGGGTGAAGCTAAGCTGGGGAACGTGGCTTAAATGAGGAAGCCCAAGCAAAGACCCCTAACCTGTGCCCCCCAGTGAACCTGGAATGGGTCAGTAGCAGCGAGGGCACCCACTCTACCTTCACAGTCACTCCATGGTTGGGGACCATGGTCCTGCTTTCAGGGTGAAGATCAGAAACCTAGAAGTGCAGACTAACTCCAGCCCGACGCTCGTTTGTGTAAATGAAGATTTACTGGAACACAGTCATGGCCATGTGTTTGCTTTTTGTCTCTGACTGCTCTCACTCCCCAGTAGTAATCTGAGGACGGGGAGATGCAACAGAGACTGGGAAACAGCCTGCAAAGCCCTGCTCCAGAAACCCACCCAGGTTCACTTAACGCCTGAGAGTCTGGAAGCAAGAAAGGTGGCACTGTGCCTGGGCCCTCGCCTTTTTAGAACAACAGGGTCTGCTGCGTGCCTGAGCTTCCGACCAGTCTGCTTACAGACTCCTCCTTGCTTAGGGGGAACCCAGTGAGGAGTAGATGGCAAAACCAAGGCTGTGGATGAGAGGAATGAAGCACATGCCCCCTGTGCTGCTGACAATGAGCTGTGCAGACTGCAGCTGGGGCACATGCAATCCCAGAAGCAAGGCAAGGACTATGGATGGGACATTCGGCCAGTTCTCCGAGAGGTGGGGTGGAGGCAGTAAGCAGCACGCTGCCTGGCCTTCGTGTGGGGCTCTGCTGAGGCTCTTCACTCCCATGGAGGCCATTCTCCTTCTCTGTTAAGTAACTGACTGCACCCTTGCTTCTGGTTCTGTATCACTTGGCTCATAGCTTTTTTTTTTTTTTTTTTTTTTTTTTTTTTTGACAGGCAGAGTGGACAGTGAGAGAGAGAGAAAGGTCTTCCTTTTGCCGTTGGTTCACCCTCCAATGGCCGCCGCGGCTGGCGCACCGTGCTGATCCAAAGCCAGGAGCCAGGTGCTTTTCCTGGTCTCTCATGCAGGTGCAGGGCCCAAGTACTTGGGCTATCCTCCACTGCACTCCCTGGCCACAGCAGAGAGCTGGCCTAGAAGAGGGGCAACCAGGACAGAATCCGGCGCCCTGACCGGGACTAGAACCTGGTGTGCCGGCACCGCAAGGCGGAGGATTAGCCTATTGAGCCATGGCGCCAGCGGCTCATAGCTCTTAGAAATCATCCCGCATGTCTGTTGGCTCCTTTCTTATCTGTGCTTCCATCCTCGTAAATTGATTGAGGACTCCTGTCTCCTGCCCCCTGCTAAGCTCTGGGCCTTTATGTCCAACTTCTTATTTAACATCCCATAGGCATCTCAAACTTGGCTGCCGTTATTAATGTTGTTATTTGTATTATTTTGAGCCTGTTAAAAACACACAGTACTTGGTGGATAGGCATTGTTCTAGGCACTTTTTTTTTAGATTTATTTTTTATTTATTTGAAAGGCAGAGTTGCAGAGAGAGGTAGTGACAGAGAGAGAGAGGGAGGTCTTCCATCCACTGGTTTTCTCCCCAGATGACCGCAACGGCTGGAGCTGAGCCGATCTGAAGCCAGGAACCAGGAGCTTCCTCTGGGTCTCCCACATGGGTGCAGGGGCCCCCCAAATTGGGCTATCCTCAGATGTTTTCCCTGGCACGTCGGAAGTGGAGCAGCAGGGACTCGAAGCAGCACCCATATGGGATGCCGGCACTGCAGGCTGGGGCTTTAATTCACTGTGTCACAGCACCAGCCCCTCTAAGCACTTTTTATACCTGAAACACAACACTTAAATCCATACCTCCCCAATCCTGTTTCTGCCCAGGCTTCTCCATCTTCCCAAATGGCATCCCTGTCCACGCAGCTCTTCAAGTCAGTGATCCCCAGAATATGCGCACACTGCCTAGGGCATGGCAGAAACACTAGGGAGTTCCCAAGAGTTATCCTCAAATGCTAATAGACAGTTGGTGGATAAATACCCCAACTCCCTCCATCCTCTGGTGGCGCAGCTCTGAGGCATGAGATGTACCTTGGGATTAAGCTCTGGTTGCACATAATGGTAACCTGTTCATTGGTGTACCCTATATTGGCTTTATTCCCTGATGGTCTCACGTCCCCCCTTCTACTACCCATGTTCTTTGACATTGTCTCCCAAACAAACTACTAAAGTTCAACTCTTTTATCTCTGAGCTTACTTATGGGACATCCCAAATCAACAATATTCAATTGAATTTCCCCAAAACAGCTACTTCTCATAGGTCCGCTGCTGTCACTGCTGGTCCAAGGAGCCGAGATACCAGCATCTCTTCCCTGGACTACTGCTATAACTTCCCAGCTAATCCTCATTCTTCCCCCGCCATGCTGAAGTCTGTGTTTCCTACAGGAGCCAGCATACATTCTGTGAAACGAAAATCTTCTTAGGGGACTCCCATGCTCAGAACCCTCTACTGATTTCCCATCACACCTTGAATAGCATTGAATTCCTTAACCACAGAGCCTAATGTAATTCAGACTCTTTAGTCCTATGGAGATGTTTCTGTGGCTCTCCTCCTGCCTCCCTGTAGGCATTTGCTCCCTGCCTCCCTGTGCACCTGCTGTTCCCTCTGCCTGGAAAGCCCCTCCTCTTGTTGGCATGGCTGCTGCTTTCAGGACTGAGTCCACGTACATGTTACCTGCGCAGAGGGAGCCTCCCACACTGTGCCATCTAGAATCAGTCTCGTTCCTCGTCACTACCCCACGTCCTTCTTTGTTTTCCTCAATCACTTTTCACTATCAGAAATGATACATTTGCTCATTTAGTCCTTACATCTCCTAATCAACAGACTGCTCAAGGAAGAATTCTCTAGTTCTCTGCACCTCTAGTTCCATAGAAAAATGCCAACAAATGTGAGGGATTTAGTAAGTAAAGGATGGATGGATGGATGGGTGGATGGATGGGTGAATGAATGAATTAATGAATGACTTCCTTACTGGATGAGATTGTGAGTTCCAGACTGACCTGCAGAAGACATCAATAACATCCAAGTCAACGAGTGGGCAAGAAAGTTTGTAGAAGAGCAAGGCTGTGTTCTCCCCAGGCCCCAGCCTCACAGCCCTTTGTAATGAGTGACCTGTCACGGGTGGGTCCCATTTCCCTTGCTGGTTGTCTACACCTGGACAAAGCTCCTATGTCAGGCAACCCTAACCTCCCTGTCATTTCTTTTTAGGCCTTGCCAGAGGGGCAGACAGCTTCGTGGGACACAGCCAAGGAGGATGAAAACCGCAATAAGAATCGATACGGGAACATCATATCCTGTAGGTGCCCTCTGCAAAGGCCCCAGCAGCAAGGTTTGGGGATATGGGGGGAATGACGCTGTTCTCTATTTGCAATTTGTTATCAAACAATCATTGATGTGTTCAGCTTTAGGTTCATGTGCCAAGCTGGGAGTTTCATTGTAACTGTCTTGTCACACCTGGCCTTGTTGTCAGAGCACGGCTGGTCTCACGGGGAGGGAGCAGGTGGGGATGTGTTCAGGCGGAGTAGATCCTTGGGGATCTACCTGGGGAGAACCTCTGAAGGGTGGGCAATTGCTCAGGCCCAGGAAGAAGCCCAGCCAGACGGTGGCCATAGAGAAGACCCCACCGCTGGGCAGATGGATGAGCCCGGCGTTTCCAGAAGCTCCTCCAATTCAGAGGGCTCTCGTGCAGCAACTTGGGGGTGGAGAGCAAGGTCCAGCCCATATGGGCGAGACAAAGTGTTCTTCTAAGGCAGAGTCCCAAGTAAGAACTGATGCGTAGAGGGGGCCTGACGGTCTGGGAAATGGCCAGTTCACAGATTGAAGGAGCTGGACTACTCTGATCACGCAAAAGAGGATTTATGCAATGCAGATTCTCCCTAACCCCATTACCAGTAGGGCAGAGCCTGAAAAGAGAAGGCCTGCACTCGGGGCCTACGCCAGTGCTACAATGAAGGTTCTGAGTCTGCAAGAGGAAAGCTGGTTTGTTGCAAAGCTAGGATGCTACCTTTTGCTTCACCCTGTAGGCCACCCAGCGAGTGACTTGACACAGTCAGTGATGGCCAGTAGAGCCCTCTGGAGTCACACTTCCTGGGTCTCTATCCCAGCTCTGGGGCCCTGGTCTCCTGTCTCCTCTGAGCATAGTTTCCTCACCTCTGGAATGATGAAGATAGTAGGGACAGAGTGATGTAAAGAGACACATGCAACACTTGGCGTAATACCTGGCGCCAGTTCTCTTAGCTATAGGGTTACATTCTCAGGCTCATTGTTGAGCAGGCTATATCATTCCACCTATGTGGGGACACAGAATAAGATGGGTTGGTGGCAGAAAAATTAAACTGGGCATGGATGGAGGCAACGGGACCCGTCGGGAGACTACTGCAGAGGATTATGGGGCCTGGACAAAGACACTGACGGTCCTTGTGTGTGACTGGTGTGTGTGTTTCAGTTCTGGGAGGAGAGGAACGGAGAGACCGCCAGAAAACTGAATACCATGCACAGGAAACACCCAAGCATTGTCACTGCCAGATGTTGTTGCAGAGTCCGAAAACCATAAATCCAGAAGGGACGGAGTTATCTCGTGCAAGATGCTGAGCACGTATCCTGATTAGAAGAGGGCTCTCCGCCGGCCCTTGTGTGGTTCATTGTTGCCATCCTGAACCCGCTGATATCTCACCAACCATATGGGGAGTATTGCTTGGTGTCTGGTCCTGGGGTAACCCGGCTCAGCCAGACGGGAAATAAAAGGATCCTGGATGGCAAATAATTGTTTCTAGCACAGTTCAATGTTTTGCTTTATTTTAGCTGTCTAGACATTGCCCAAGAAAAAGCTTGGATAAAGAAAGAGTAAGATACAGGCAGATTGTAAAGGGATAAAGAGGCAGAAGTTTTAGCTTAGCTGTTTCCTGTGCTGATTTAGAAATGGGCTATGAATGGTGGGACTAATCAGAAAACATTTCTAATTTGTCTCTTGAAACACAGCAAGATTTTCTGCAAGCGCTGGGAGGAGATATTCAAATAGTCAGCAAATGTGTATTAGGACTTGGGGGAAGTGGGCTTCCTCTGAGCAGGCCTGGCACTGGGCACTGAGAGCTGTGGTCCCTCCCCTGGGTAGCCCCCACCCTGGCCCCAGGGCCCCAGGTGGCTCCGTGCCCTGACCCGTCCCCAGCATCCTGTGCTGTATAAGCCCTAGTCACTTACCCATTGTCCCTATGAGCTGGGGAGTTCTGATAGCATCCACGAAATTCCAGGTGATGCAACGTTAGACAAGCACTCTAATCCTTGATATCCATAAAATGGACATAACAGCGTCTTCCTCCTAAGGATGTCACACAGTTAAGAAGAAAAAAAAAAAAGTACAGGGAAGAAAAAAATGTCTAGAGTGCAGCAAAGGGCTCCTGACTCCTTGACAGATGAGGGCATCCGGGACGCGCCCCACTCCCAGGTCAGTGCCTAGGGATCTGAGGGCCAGAAGCCAAGCTATGCCGGCCTTCGAAAGGTTCATGGAAAATGGAGTTAGAGCCAGGCAAAGATTTTCCGGGGATTTTCCATGAAGGACTTGAAGTGCCCTTTTGCCTCTCTGCCCAGCCTCCACGGCTCATCCTCGCCCAGGCCACCACCAGCTCTCACAGGGACCCTGCCAGCCTCCATCCTGGGTGCCCTACAACGTTTGGCCCCAACTTTCTGCCGATCTGATCCTTGACAAAAACTGGAAGGATCTCTCTCAAACAGGAGGTGGACAATGTTGTTTCCTACGAAAAACCCCTGGAATGGTTTCTCCTCACTCTTGTACTCTCCTTAGTGAAAGACCCTCAGCTGTTCTTCTAGTCTCCTCTCACATCATGCTGCTCCATCACAGCCTCCTCGATTAAACCAGGACCTTTGCCCCAGGACCTTTGAACGTTCTGCTCTAATAAAGCACTCCTCCCCCCCTCTTTCTTCACTTAGTCTTTAGATCTCAGCTCAGTCATCACTTTCATAAAAGAATTCTTCTGATCCTTTGAATTTGATCAAAATCCTACTCTTCAGGGACTGGCTGGCATCGTAGCTGCTTGAGCTATGGCTATAACCCCGGCATCCCATATCAGTGGTGGTTTGAGTTCTGGGTGCTCCACTTCCAGTCCAGCTCCCTGCTAGTGTACCTGGGGAAGCAGCAGGTGCATCCGCATGTGAGTCCCAGGTGTAGTACTTGGCTCCTGGCTGTGGTCTGGCCCAGCCCTGGCTGTTAATACCCATTTGGGGAGTTAACTGATAGATGGAGATCTCTGTCTCTCTCTGTCTGTCTCTTTATCTCTCTCTCTCTCTCTCTCTCTCTCAACTCTATCATCTCTAACTCTCTCTCTGTCTGTCTCTTTATCTCTCTCTCTCTCTCTCTCTCAACTCTATCATCTCTAACTCTCTCTCTGTCTCTCCCTCTCTCTGTAACTGTGCCTTTGCTCACTCTGAGAGCACAATGTGTGTTTCTCCTTCGCCCTCATCACCACTGTGGCCTTCAGATGGCCATCTGGTGACGGCTTGACTCCTCGCCAGAATAGATGCCCTGTGACCAAGGCCGTCATGTGCTTCTGTTTCCCCAAACCTGGCATTTGGTGCCTGGTAAATAGACACTGAATGTGAGGAAGACCCTGTGAGACTTGAGTGGAGGGGATCGCTCCCGCTCTGCTTCCCAAATAACATGATAGAATGATGGACGGAGAAGGGTGAATGAAATGACACGTGAAACCGTGCTAGTCCAGTACGGGAGAAGACACTGAGCGTGACTGAAGAGAGCAGGGAGATGGGACACAGGAAGCGGAGGAGGAAGAGACCAGTCTGTGCCCTCTGAGAGCTGCTGCCACAGGGCAGGGTCCAGGGAATTAGGTCAAATGGTGATGGGGACTAGAACTCCATCACTGCAATGTAGAGCATGCTTGGTGCCCCACCCACACCCGATGACCTCACCACCTCACTGTGAGAGTGGGCACCCGGGGCCAGCACAAGGGTGGGATGAGATGAGTGAGATCCCTAGGGTGCAGTGTCCACGGAAACCTCAGGCTCAGCTGTTGATCCTGCATTGGCAGGACCCCGAGAGTGAGCTCCTCATCATTTGTCCTGTCTGTGTGTGTGTGTGTGTGTGTCTGTCTGTCTGTCTGTCTCTCTCTCTCTCTCTTTCCATTCTCCAAAGCTGGGAAGGATGCTCTGCCCAGACCCAGGGCGCCCTGCACATGCTGGAGAATTGACGCCATCAACCAGGAACCGCCCCAGCTTCCTCGCCTTCCCGCTGAAGTGCATGTTCTGCACCTTGTCCGGAGTTCCCACAGGATCAGGCTCTCGTGGCCCACAGTAGTAATGGACTTGAACACTCACCTTAGCCGGGCTGTCTTCCTTCCCCTGACTTTCTTCTCTCTTTGCTCCCAGTCTTCCCTCGTCTTCCTCCATAAATGACTTGCCCTGGAACCCTTGTATGACATTTACTTGGTGGTAAACCCAAATAGATGCAGGGGGCATGTGAGCACCCTAAGAATATCACTTCCATCACTTCCAAATAATCCTTTCTCCTGTCTAACGTAAGGATGAATAATCCAGCAACAAATTGGAGCTGCTGAGTCTGCACCCAGTACTGAAAGGAAACAGTGCTGAGGCAACCAGTGGATCCAGAAATTAGCACAAGACATAAAGGGAAACCAAAAACTGGGGGTAGAGGTCTTGGAGCTGAAACAGGAAAGGTAAAAGAGAAACAGCCTGAGGAATGGAAAGTGTTCCTGCCCTTGTGTGTGTCCCTCCCAAAGGCAAGGCCTGCTGGGGCTTGATAAATAGAAATATTCTTGGCACAAGAAGGAAACCGAGTGTGATTAGCATCTTAAGGAACCCAGAGCACTGAGAGGCTGGAGTGGAGGACAAAGGCCCAGGCCAGGGAGAACAGAAGAGATTCAAGGGGAAGAGCAGGAGGGAGGGCGCTGCCTACAATGAAACAGTGAGAGAGAAAGCTCGGTGCAAGAACCCCTTTCTTCCAAACGACTGTATTTAGAATTTAGTAATAGACAGTGGGGTTTCCAGGGATCGGCAATGGAAAGGAAGCAAAAGGGAAGGCAGTGAATGGGGAAAGGGGAACAAAGAGTCCTTTGCTGCCAGGTAGCTCTGGGGCAGAGGCCGTTGGCAAGGGGAAATTTCCAGAATCCAGATGCGTCCCCTGAGTGGGGGTTCCTAGAGGTGTCTCCTGGCTTGTCAGGAAGAAGATATCCTGAGAAGTGATTGAGGGGTTGCAGCCTCTACAAAAGGGGGCTTCCTTGTATCTCTGGGGAATCCCAGCAGGCAATAGTT